CTCGCGCAGCCAGACCTCCTGATGCCTGCGCTGCCGCCCGCGCCGACCGCCGCCGTGCGGCAGAAGGCGTGCCGCCGCACTGTGCAGCAGCTCGTCGAGCGCCACGCCCAGCGGGAGGGGCAGGACGTCGCGCGCGATGCCAGTGTCCGAGACTCCTTGCGCCGAGGCCGCCATCGCCACCGCAGTGGCGGCCCTCCCCGTGAAAGCGCCCGCTGCCCGGGGGGCTGCAGCGGCCGCGCGCAAGCCGAAAAACGAGCGGCGGGCTAGGCCCGCCCGCGGCCGCGGTCACCTCGGCCTCGGCCGCCAGGGCCGCCGCCGCCTGCGCCGCCGCCGCCGCCGCCTTGATCGCCACCTCCTGGTGCGGCGTCGGCGCCGCTGCTGTCCCCGCCGCGAGCCATGCGGCGCTCCTCTCTGCCCTGGCGCCTCTCCTTGAGGATGGCGCCCTCCTCCTGCATCTTCTCCGCCACGTGCACCTCCAAGGATGGCGCCACGCGAGAATGGCCCTTGGAGCGGGAGCCGCTGAGGAAGATCCTGCGCGCGTCCAGCCAGCCGTCCGAGTCTACCGTTGCCCCCGCCGTGCCTGAGACCTCGACCTGGCGCAGGGCCTCGGAGTGCACCTCGTCCCGCAGCTGGAATCGCCTGGCTGCCAGCTCGGACGCCTCGCAGCCGGGGAGGTTGAGCTGGTCGGCCGTGGAGGCCGTCTCGATCAGCCCGCACAGGGACAAATGCTCGTCGATCCCGGGGCCAGCAGCCGCCAGCCCCAGGATCTGACCCCACCAGTAGCGCCGCTGGACAAGCCCGCTACCCTGCTCCAGATGCGCCTGAAGCAGCCAGCCGATGATAGCGGGCCCTTGCACGAGCCACTCCTGCGTCCTGAGCACCTCGCGCTGCTCGGCAGCCACCTCCGAGAAGGCGTGCCGCCGCTGGCCCGTACCGCTCCTTCGGTACCTCAGGATGCGCTCGGCCAGGACTTCATCCCGCGCGTCCCGTGGAGCAGGCGGCGCCTCCTCGGAGAGGGTCTCCACTCGTTCCAACACGATGACCTCCTCCGGGAACGAGGCCCTGGCGCGGTCGTCCCGGGCATAGACGGAGGCGAACGTAACGTCCACTGACGAGCCCCGCCTGAAGCCCCGCCGCGACTCCAGGGCGACCCAGCCGTCGTCCAGCTGCACTGGCGGCAGGGGTCCACCGCCGGCACCCGCGAGGAGGGCGGCCCGAGCCTGCTCGTCCAGGCCGAGCTGGTACAGCATCTTCTTGCGCAGCTGAGGCGGGGCTCCCCCTCGAGGGCAAGCTCGGCGGATCTCCACGCGATTCTCGTCGGCGAAGTCATCCGCGTACACGTCGGCATCAGGCGTCGCCACCTCCAACCGTGAGCCGTCCACGTGGCCGCACAGAAGCCTCTCGTGGAACCGACGGTCCTCCAGGCTGTACAGACAGTATGGCTTGTCCCCCTGGCGGGCCGTCTTCAGCAGGACGGGAAGCCCTCGGGGGACCATGGCCATGGAGCCTGCCGACGAGGAAGCCAATGATGAACGCGGCGACCACAGCGAGGCACAAGACTGAGGCGATCTCCCAGAAGCTCGAGGGACACTCCAAAGGGGCGCTGCGAAGCTGCTCAGGGCCACACCTGTCCAGTTGGCGCTGCAGGACCTGCAGCAGCTCTCTGTCGTGCTCTCCTGTGAAGCTGCACGTGCAGTGGCAATCCCTGCGGAGAGATGTCCAGAGGTTGGCGGCGTACAGGCCAGTCGCAGCCCAATCGCGGACTACTGGGGCGAGACCGTACGCGAGCCCTGCCATAACAAGCGAAGCTCTGAACAGAAGCGATGGCTACAGAGCGAATGAAGCGGACGCACGCAATGAACAATACCGTGCACTGCTAACCCATACCCATAGGAGGGTCGAAAGGAGGGGGGCTGGCTATGGGTATGGGTGCGAGTTGTCGGCCCCTGGGGGAAGCTCCCGTTCGAGCGGGGGCCCCCATCCGACAACACGCACCCATAACCTCCTCCGTCCCCCCTGTGGGTATGGGTGCGTGTTGTTCGATCGTCATATATTGTACCTCGTAGATGCCGCCACTCCTACTGCACAACACGGGTTTCACAGTAAATCTTGCACATCCTCTATTGCACGGACTAGGTTGAATCACATCAATTGCACTACCTGTGTTGCTAGGAGCACATTGCTTGGGGTCCACCGTGTGAAGGACTTGGGCATTCTCCCCTTTTCCGCTTCCCGACGCTCCAGGACTGCTTACGAGGCCCCCGATATTGCCCAAAGAGGCCTCCAAGAGGGCCCCAAAACGTCCCAAGGGGGCCCCAAGACGGCCCAAGAGGCCCCACAAACTGCCCAAGAGGCCCCCAAAACGGCTCCAAGAGGGGGCCCCGACGAGGGGCCCGAACGGGCATTTCGAGCCCTCGGCCCCGAGAGGCTGCCAAGAGGCCCCAAGAGGCCCCCGAGAGGCCTCCAGAAGCCCCAAGAGGCCCCCAAGAGGCCCCCAAGACGCTCCCCAGGAGGCTTCCAAGAGGCCCCGAGACTGCCCCAAGAGGCCCCCGAGAGCGCCCCGAAAAGACCCCCAGAAACATTCCTGAGGACTCTGACCCACAACCCAAGTTTTTTTTGACATGCGGACGCGAGCACGCGCGCAGCCGCGGCGCTCGACCCCACCCAAAGGCTCAGTCCGGGACCTTTGGGAGCTGCGCCTTGCGTTGCGCAACCAGGCATGCAAACGCCTCGGCGCTGCCTCCCAGGCACTGTGGCGGGATGGGCCGAAGGCAATTCGACCTTCTTGGTGAGCGGACGGGCTGCACGCGTGCTCTGTGAGGGCGCGAGGCATGGGGGCTCTATTGGCCGTCTTGGGGCCCTGTTGGGCTATCTTGGAGCCCTCTTGGGCCCTCTTGGGCCGTCTTGGGGCCGTCTTAGGGGGCCCCTTGTGCGGTCTTGGGGGGGTCCTGGGGGCCTCTTGGGCCGTCGTGGACCAGATGAAGGCCAGAGAAGCATTGGAGAACTCGTGGAGCGTATTGAAAGCGTCTTTGGCCGCCTTGAGGCCATCCTGGGCCCTCTTTGAAAGCTCTCGGGCCATCCTGGGGCCCCCCTCTTGGGCCTCCCTGAGCCCGTTGTCGCGGTAGCTTGGGTACTCTCCTCTGAGGCGCTCTTGCGGCTGCCTTGGGCCGTCTAGGGCCGAACATGGCCAAGAAGTGGGACTGGGGGCCGTCTTGGGGCCGTCTTGGGGGCCCCTTGTGCCGTCTTGGGGCGATCCTGTGGTCCTCTTGGGCCGTTGTGGACACTGAAGACCAACGAGCAGATATGCTTAACATGTACAGCTTCCAAAAATAATGTCACGACTTTTGCCTCTGGGGCGTCCTTCTGGAGGCCTCGTGGCGCGCCTTGAGGGCCTCTTCGGCCGTCTTGAGGTCATCCTGGGTTTTTTCCCTCGCCCGCCGCGCAGCGCCAGGTGGACGGGCAAGGGCCGATGCGCTGGGATCTCCCGGGGCGAGACAGGAGAGCCGAAGCGGGGCAACCGCTTCACGAATTGCATCGGCGATGCGAACGAGGAGGCGATCGCCAGCAGGGCCAGCTGCAGACAAACACATGTTGCGGTGCTGCCCGTGGCAAGTGCTGGGGGCTGCCAGGTCCCCGCTCGCACGGCGCCGGAGGCGCGGCCGCCCAGAGCCGCCACGGGCGCAGGGTCTGCACGAGCGGACGCAACAAGACCAAGAGGAATGACATTCCCTTTGCCTCACCCTCCTCCTCCTCCTCCTTCCCTTCTCCTCCGCCTCCTCCTTCTTCTTCTCCTCCTCCTCCTCCTCTTCTTCTTCTTCTTCCTCCTCCTCCTCCTCCTCCTCCTCCTTCCCCATCCCTATGGTGTCTTTGATTCAGCGTGTCGCAGGCCCTCTACAAGGCGCGCGCACAACTAAAACTGTGTGCTTGCATGTTCTGCTCAGGCGCCGTGCCAGAGGCTTGAGCACGGCTTCCGACTGAAAGCATCCAGAGATCCATGAGCTTTTGGCCCACGCCTCTAGACGAGCCAGTACTCCACCCCTGCACTCCCATTCCGAAAATTGCCCCAGCGCCAGGCGCGACTGACGCACATGCGCGAGCTGGCTACTCATATGTGTGAACAACTTCACCATCACTCCTTTCTGGCGGTGCCCGAGGGCTCCCGCGGCAGTGGGCTCGCGGGGTGAATCACACGGTGCGTACGAGAGATGGACCATCATTGGTCTGCCGTGGCTCGAACAAGAAGGGGAAAGAGAGAAAGAGAGAGAGAGAGAGCGCTTGCGATTGATACCAACCAATCGCTTGGAGAGAAACGCCTGGTTTACAAAGTTCGCAAACACAATTCGACCTACAAGCGCATTACCGTCAAAGCTCATTAGAGCTTAATGTTGAGGATAAAACAAAAAAACGTAACGTCGCATTGCCTTTCGCACAGGAGCTCGGAAACTCGGCTCGACCTCTCGACGCATCCACCCAGGAGCCTGGGAGCTCTTCCTTGGCAGGGAGGGCGCGTCGAGGTGCTGATGTTGGTGCAGAGACGGTCGTGCATCGCGGACGAGAGGGCAGGGACCCCTTGCACTCTCGCAGTGGCGCCCCCCACGCGCCTGGCTCGGCCCCTCGAAGACTCCACACCGCGGGCGGGAACACGCGACCGCCCACAGCGCAGTCCGAGGCGCACGAGCTCCTCCTCCTCCTCCTCCTCCTCCTCCTCCTCCTCCTCCTCCCCCGCTCCTCCTCCTCCTCCTCCTCCTCCTCCTCCTCCTCCTCCTCCTCCCCTCTCCTCCTCCTCCTCCTCCTCCCTCCTCCTCCTCCTCCTCCTCCTCCTCCTCCTCCTCCTCCTCTCCTCTCCTCCCCCCTCCTCCTCCTCCCCCTCCTCCTCCTCCTCCTCCTCCTCCTCCTCCCTCCTCCCTCCTCCTCCTCCTCCTCCTCCTCCTCCTCCTCCTCCTCCTCCTCCTCCTCCGTCCCAGGGGGGGGGAGCCGGGCACCCGGCGGGCGCTGGCAGGACGAGGCGGGCGCGAGGGGCGGAGTGCCGCCGGGCGCCACGAGCGGGGGGGGGGCACCGAGAGCAGGAGGCGGGAGGCAGCGGGCACGCCAGAAACGCTCGCACGGTGGAAGTACGGTGGCACGCTCAGAGCATCACGGGATGCACAGAGACATACTAATACTATGTGTCCGCCTTGGAGGCGCGCGTCCGACCCGAACATATAGTATACCCATCTTGTAGTATATCGTTTCTTGAGCGGTGTGGCCAGAAAGCGCCCGCCACGACGCATATACTATAAGATTTCTCGGTTCGCGCGTCGCCTCTGGGGGGGCGACGAACACATAGTATAAGTATGTTGGGGGGACGCACGCCCACATCACTCTGCACGTGCACGTCGTCCATTTCTGATCGTGCTCATTTCTAAGTGTGCTCGTCTCTAAAAATGTTCCTGGCCCCCCAGTGGCCAGGAAGAGGCCCAGGATGGAGCACTTAGAAATGAGAAGATTTTGGCCCCCAGAAAAACAAAGAACTTTCGAATCCTTAGAACTGAACAATGTGTACGTGTGGGTGCGTCTAGCTATAACTGTGTATGTACACGCTAGAGCCACGCGCGCGCTACGCTCGCGCTCAGGTTCTGGCCAGCTCCGCAGTCATTGTCAGTAGGCCTGTTGCGAATCCACACACACACACCCGAATTTACCAAAGGAGCAGTGCCCCGAGCGCAGGCCACCCTCAGCGCGTGGTGCCAAGCATTCTGAGGGATAGCGACGGGCTTGTGGGGCAGTCACGGAATCCGTCGACCCCTTTGGGGTCTTCAGGCGTGCGAGATTCTCCCCCCCCAATCCCCCCTCTGAGAGGTGTGTTTGTGTGTGGGGGCACAAGTGCAGCGGAACGTGCTAAGCGAACTTTGCGCGTTGGACACTGGGACCACCACTGTCAAACAGGCAATCGACCACACTTCCCGTCATATTCCCTGTTCGATAATGAGATTCTCCTATCACATGGGCGATCGGGTAACCCGATTACCCATTTGACAACGGGATTCCCTTTGCTAATTGTGAAGGGCCCCCAGGACACACACACACACATAAATACACACAAATAAAACTATTCCCCATATTTTGCAATATTTTCTGGGTTTTGTGTCTTCCCGCCCGATTCCCATATTTTCCCATATCTGGGGAACCGACGATTAATTGTGTCTGTGTGTTTCTTCCCCTCCTGATAATTGGGCGATCGCAGCTCCACTCGCCTGCCTCGGCCTGGCCCCCCGTGTGCTCCTTTGAATGCGGCCCCCCCCACGGTCCAAGGGGGCAATTGGAGCTCAGTTCCCGCCCCCCCCCCCCGGAAGGAGGGGGAGCAGGAGGAGGAGGTGGAGGTGGAGGAGGAGGAGGAGGAGGAGGAGGAGCAGGACCCTGGACTGACAGTGGGCCCCCACTGACAAATGGGCCATCGGAGCTCAACTCCCGCGCCTCGCCTCGGCCTGGCTCCCCGATGGTCCATGTCACCGGTGGGCCCCCGCTGTCGAATCGATCATCGGACTGCCTTGGCCGCCCAGACCTGGCCCCCAGACAAGCTATTTGACAATGTCGCCCCATTGCCAAATGCGCGAGTCACCTGCTCCCCCCCGCCTTGGCTGGGTCCGCACGTTTGCCAGTGGAGCCTCACTGTCAAATTGGCAGCCCCCGAAAAGCTGCCCATTTGGCAATTTGGCCCCCCGAAGTACACCCATGCTGCAAAGATCTCATGGAAGACCACCGAAGAGCCGCGCAAGAGCATCCTGATGACCCCTCACGAGCTTCGTAACGACAAGGGCCAACATACTTTTTCAGCTTCCCAATGCTCCCGCCATCCAGATCGTCTCCATGGCAATTTCCACCGCTCCTTTGGGTGCGCGGCCAACCCATCTGCACCGATCGCAAAATCATCGCGGCCCCACTGGCACCTAACCTCCAAATTCGAAGCAACTGGATGCAAGCGGTGAGCTGTGAACCTGGTCACCGCGGGAGGCCTTGTGGAGTTCCTCGCGCGCGTGGTATTCCTGGTGGCCACAGGTCTTCGTTCCGCCGAATGCCGCACTGGCAAAGTGCCGCATACAGGGCAGCTCTTAATACATATGATTTTAAGCATCTAGGATTTTAATACATGATTCATTTATGAATACATTTATGCATGAACTCATCGTTGTTTTTAATACTAAATCCCTGCATTTTTAATGCATGCTCCGCACGCGGAGCATGAATCAAAAACGGCACTGTAGCGTCCCTCCGCCCACTTGGAGCACCCCCCGCCTCAAACGTTCAGTGGCTCCGCGGGCGGCTGGCTGGTCTGATTGGCGTCAGCCTTCTCTCTCGTCCCTCGAAGCATCGGAAGGCGCTGGGCCACGAGAGCTCTTGCTCTGCGGTGCGAACGGCAGTGGCCCTGCCCTGCACCGCTGCGCGCCTCGCAGCGAGAGCGGGGACGCTGCCCCCTGCTGTCTGCGGATACGTGCCGCTCTGCCCTCGCAGCTCGTGCAGCAAAACTGCGCGCCAGCTCGCTGCAGCAATCGGCGATGATGAGAGGGCCGCGGAGGCGCAATGCCGCGAGAAGAAAAAAGGGAGAGACGTAGCAGAATGGTGGAGACTCCTGGGGGGCATCGATGGCCGTATTGATGCTCCATTGGGGTGCCTCTTGGGCCGTCAGAAGCCCTCTGGGGTCCGTCTTGGAGCCCTCTTAGGGGGGCAGCTGGGGCCCCCCTGGGGAGGGCCTCTTGGAAGCCCCTCGGGGGCCTTGGCTGGCGGGGTCGGCGTCGGTGTTGCCGCTCATGTGGCTCGCCTGGGGGCGTCTTGGGGCCCCTTGCAGGGCTTCTTGGGCCGCGGAAGGGTCCTCTGGGGCCGTCGTGGGGCTCTCTTGGGGGGTCGTTTGGGGCCGTTGGGGGGGCCGTCTGCGGAATCTGTGGGCGTCTTGAGCCGCCGGGAGCTCAGAAAAAAAACGAGAACGCTGACGTATTTTGATCTTTCTAGGGCCTCTTTCGGCGCCTCCTGTGGGCTCTTCGGAAGCTCTTGGAAGCCTTTTTGGTGCATCGAAGGTGCCTCTTCGGGCGGCATGGTAGCCTCTTGTGGCCTCTTGGGGCTGCCTGGGGTGCCTTCGGAAGGCATCTGGCGTTCTCGTGGGGATCATGCGTCAGCCTCTGAAGGGTTTCTGGGGCACAAAAGTGGAATGGCAAGCGTCAAACATTTTGTTCTAGGTGCTTGGAAATCCTTGGCGCTCTCGTCGGCGGTCTTGGGGGCCTCTGGGAAGCCTCTTGGCGCTCTCTTGGGGGCTGGTGCGGGCTTCTTGGACCGTCTGGAGGCGTCTTGGGCGCCGCTGGTGGCGTCATGCAGCCCTGGTATGCTGTCCCAGGGCCTTCCTGGAGGCCGCTGGGCCCGTCCTGAGGCGGTGTTGGAGGCCTCGTGGGCTGTCGTGGAGTATCAACAGGTGGACAAGGAGAGGGCGCCCGACACATCGAAAAACCCTAGCGACATCGTTGTTTTTTGCCTCTCGGGGTACTCGTCAGGGGCCTCGAGCGCTCATTGAAGCTGCCCCAAGGCCGTCCTGGCGCAGCCTAGAAGCCTTTGGATGCCGGTCAGAAAACATCTTTGGTGCTCTTTCGGGGTGTGCTAGACCCAGTGTGGTAGACTGTCGTACCAATTTGTGGGCCCTCTTTGCGACCATGAGGCCACTTTGGGAACCACGAAGGCGCTCCTAGATCTCCTGCGGCACCCATGTGTGCCCGGGGTCTCGGAATGATGAGTCAGGGTGATGGTTTCAGCCGACCCTCGCTTGCCCAGGGTGTCAATGCGTGTGAGACATTTGGGTGTCCCGCTCCCCTTTGCCCCCTCCCCAGGGGTCCAACATCGGATTAGAGAGGGGCGGGGATCGGGGGGGGATAGACGAGCTGCTCAACGCACCCCCCAGGTTTCCAGAGCCTGCACAGAGCCTCAAAATGGCCCAACGGAGCCCAAACAGAGCGCCACCACAGACCAAGAGAGCATCGGATCGATCGTGAGATTGATAGTGAGTTCGGCACTGAGATCGATCGTGAGATCGATTGAATGAGACCAATAATGAGATCGATCGTGAGATCGGTTGTGATTGATCGTGATATCGATGGTTAGGTCGACAGTGATCTCGATCGTGAAATCGGCCATGCTATCGATAGGGTGGTTTCAACCTTGAAATTGATAGTGATATCGATTGTGATCGGTTCTGATATCGACAGAGAGATCGTTAGTGAGATCGGTAGTGTGATCGGTTGAGCGAGACCGATCAAGAGATCGATACTGACACCGACTGTGAGATCGATCACCAGATCTCCAGTGAGATCGATAATTGGATTAACTGTGAGATGATCGACAGTGGGCTCAATAGTGAGGTCCACGGTGACATCGATTGTGAGACCGATTAGGTGAGATCGATTGAATGAAATCGACTGAATGAAATCGGTTGGGTGAGATCGATAGTGATATTGGTTCCTCCCCCCCACAACCTCCTCATCACCCGAAAGGTGGTCGTGTAGGTCTATCAGGTCTGGTGCGGCTGCAACTGCATCCCGGATGAGGCCTGTCGTTGCCCAGGTTGGGGATTGCGGCTGCATAACGCGCTCTGGACAGACAATACTCGACTGAACCAGTAAGGCATCTCGCTCCACGATGCATGTGTCGCGCTGTCCGCCCTCAGTCGCAGCAGTGTCCAGAGAAGCACGGGGCACGCAGAAAAAACCGACGGTCTGACACTTAGGTCGGACTGCGGAAAGAGCGACTCCAAACGTAAGGCTTACCAAATTTCTCGCGAACCATCTTAAGGGAAACGGAGGGACGCAGGAAAGGGAAGACGGGAGGCGGGATGGAGCAGCAAGGAGGAAGAAGAGAGGAGAGATGATAAACTGGGAAAGACGAGAGGCGAGGGAGTAAGGGGTGACGGAGAGGCTAGGATACCTCCTTTCATCGGCTCATGGAACCATCTCTGACTACAGGCAATACAAAACAGACATCCGTGTGACTCTGGAGCGACCCTTCTGAGGAACCTCTTATGACTCTCCAGCGACCCTCCGGGCGGCATCTTGGAGACTCCCCTGGGGCTCTCATGGGCTCCTGGAGCCATCTCTGACTGCAGACAAAATGGAACAGAACTCCTTATGAAACTAGGACGACCCTTCTGGGGAACCCCTCATGACTCTCAAGCGACCTTTCGGGCGGCATCTTGGGAGCAACTATGAGCCTCTTGGACCCTCGTTGTGCAACATAAGGCCCCTACTGCTACATTATCGGAACGCTTTCGGGCCATCCAGCGGCCTCCAGGGGCAGGTGCCCGAAGTCCTGACGCCGTTTGGGGGCCTTCTGGAGGTCTCGCGGGTCATCTAGGGGTGAAGGCTGGAAATGACAGTTCGCGTTCCCCCCCTCTTGGACATCTCTTGGATCCCTTTCCGGGCTCTCTTGGGCCATCTTGGGGGCCTCCTGGGTCGTCATGGGACCCGCTTGGACCGTCTTGGTGCCGTCTTGGGCCGTCTCTGGGCGATCTTGGGGGCCTCTTGGGCCGTCGCGGACACTGTCCAGACCAAAAAAGCAAATCTGTTAAACATGCAAGCTTGCCGGATTAAGAGGGGACGACGTACCTTTCTTGGGAACCTCCTTGGGGTCTTCTCGAGACCCTCTTGGGGCGTCTTTTGGGCTTCTTAGGCGGTCTGGAATCTTTAAAACAGGGCTAGGATCGGGATAAATCGCTCCAGAGCGTTCTGGAGCGCTCTCAGAGCGTTCCGGAACGCTCTGGAGCGGCCGCGGCGCCCAATACATCCTCCAAACCCGCCGATTCTCAGAGATTTCGAGTTATCCCGATCCGATTTTGTCCCGATCTTCGTGTCGTTTTAATCTTCCCTTTGGGGCCCTCATGGGGCCCTCTGGGGCCTTCTTGGGCGCCTCTTGGGCCGTTTGAGGGCCCTCCGGAGCCACCCTGCGGACCTCTTTGGGGGGGCCTCTTGGGCTGCCTCGGGGCGATCTTGGGGGCCTCTCTGGCCGTCTTGGACCCTCTTCAGACCCCAGAGGCGAATATGCTGAACAGGTACATTGTCCTATAGAAACGGGGCAAGTTTGGGCCTTCTGTGGCCCTCTCGAGGAACATCTTGTACCTGCTTGGTGCGCATTGAATCTCGTGCCATCCGCGATAGTGACGACCGCGACGACGAGGACGACGACGACGCAGACGACAGAACGTTGACGACGACGACCACGACCACGACGAAGGACAGGAGGAGAAAGCGCAGGGCAATTTTATGGAAGCTTGTGGCGTGTTGGGAGCCTCTCGGGACAACGTGCGTTTCCTAAGCTCCGCTTCGACCTTCCTCGGGCCGTCGAAGAAGCGTCGCGGGACATCTTTTTCTTTGAACCGTACTGGGCCTCTCTTGGGGCTTTCGGAGGCGTTGAACATCAGCGTGTTCAATCGGACTCGGCCATCTTGAACTCCCCTTGGTGCCCATGGGCGAGCCCAGGATCACGGCCCCGGGTACGCATACGTCCCAGTGATCAATGGGGCGCCCTCGTGGCCCCCAGAGTGGCCCTGTGGGCGCACAAATGGCACACAAATTAGTACACCCTGCGAACTGCTTAAGAAATCATGGGTTAAGAAATTCATAGTCTCAGAACTGGAATAAAACCCAGAACTTCTACCAAAATCTTGGGATTTACATTGAAAAGTTAAGAACAATCGAGACTCTGGACGAAAACTTAGGTTTTCTTAAGCATCGCCTAGGGTGTACGACAATCTACCAGATCCGTCCACCACACCCCGAGAGCGCGCCGAAGATGCCTCGTGAACGGCCTCCGCAGGCTTCCGGCCTGCGCCAGAGGCCGGCCCCGGGCACTCTCGCGGCCCCAGACGAAAATGCCCCGAGAGGCAAGAATCTGTGGTTTCCTTTGTGGCATTTTCACTGCCATGCGGTCGCCTGGGAGTGATTTTCTGGCGGCTCGGGCGCAACTCGGTGCCCTGTTGGGCTGTCCTGGAAGTGTCTCGGGGCGGCTTTGGGGCCTCTGGAATGCTCTAGGCGCGCCTGGGGGGAGCTCCTGAAACCGTCTTGAAGCGGATGGTGGTGCTTCTTGTTGGAGCGTGGGCAAGCCAAAAAGGCGGAAGACCCCAAAAAGATCAAGACCCGCTCGGAGTGATTTTCTGGCGCCCCAGAGGCGCCCCGAGAGCCTCTGACTACCTACCAGACCACCCCAACCCAACCCGAAGACCCGATTTTCGGGTTGGGGGGGGTAAGGGTTCCACGCGTGTTTTTTCGAGGTTTCCCGACCCCCCCACTAGAAATCGAGGGTAAATCTGAACCTTCGGGTTGGGTTGGGGTGGTTTGGTGGGGAGTGAGCCTCGCGTCGCCTCTTGGGCATCTCTGGGGCCCCCGAGCCCCTCCTGCGCCGTCGAGCCCCTCCTCCCCCTCCTCCCCCTCCTCCTCCCCCTCCTCCTCCTCCTCCTCCTCCTCCTCCTCCTCCTCCTCCTCCTCCTCCTTCTAGGAGGAGGAGGAGGAGGCTTCGCCGACTCCCTGGAGGCTCTCTGGGCTTTTCTGGGCGCCGTTAGTACGGATACTTATGCGTACTAGAACTGCTTGTTTGTCCGAAGTGAATGGGGCGATTTGGTTCCTTGCGGCCCTCTTTGAGGGTCCTCTTGGAACTCCTGGGGGCCTCCTGAGCGGTCTTGAAGCCATCCTGAGCGGTCTTGGAGCGCGTGGACATGAGTGTTGCAGACGACGGGAGCAGCGGCGGCGACGACAACGGCGCCGCAACTGCGAGGACGACGACGACTTCTGCGACGACTGTCACGACTACCACGACGAGAGGAGACCCACAAGAAATCCCGAGGGAAGCAGTGAGCCCCGCGGCGACGACGGCGTCCCTCCGCCCATCTCAGCGCACCCGTCACACGGATTGTGCGCTAGAAGGACGCGGTTTCACGTACGCCGTTGTGGGAGGATTCGCATAACATCACCTCCCCCTATGGCGACTGGGTTTCTCACTTGGGGGCCTCTTGGGCCGTTCTGGAGGGAAGGCCGAAAAGAAGCAAATGCCAACATCCTTCAAAAACCGCAGGAAAATCAATGACTTTGGCGTCTTCGGGCCTTCCTGAAGGCCCTCTCGGAGACCTCCTAGGCCGTCTTGGGCCATCTTAGAGCCATCTTGAGCCGTCTTAGTGGGCTCCTGGCCCGTCTGACGCCGTCGGAAGCTGTCTTGACGGCCTCTCTGGGCCGACTTGAGGCCCTTTTGGTGTGCTCCAGGGCTGTCTTGGAAGCCATCTTGGACCGTCTTGGAGGTCTCTTGGGCCGTCTTGGGGCCCTTTTGGGGCCGTTTTGGGGGCCTCTTGGGCCGTTCTGGGACCGTCCTGGAGGCCTCTTGGGCGATCTAGGAGCGAGTCGGAAGGCCGAAAAGAAGCAAATGCCAAAATCCCTCATAAACCTAAGGAAGATCAATGATGTTGGCCTCTTCGGGTCCTCCTGGAGGCCCTCTTGGAGGCGTCCTGGGCCGTCTTGGGCCATCTTAGAGCCATCTTGAGCCGTCTTGGTGGGCTCCGGGCCCGTCTGACGCCGACTTGGAGCCCCCTTGGGGTGCTCCAGGGCCGACTGGAGGCCATCTTGGGCGTCTTGGAGGCCTCTTGGGCTGCTTGGGGCCCTTTTGGGGCTGTTTTGGGAGCCTCTTGGGCCGTTCTGGGGCCATCCTGGAGGCCTCTTGGGCGATCTTGGGGCGATCTTTGGGGGCTCTTGGGCCGTCTCGGGCCGTCGGAAGGCCGAAAAGAAGCAGATCCCCAAATCCTGCAAAAACCTAAGGAAGATCAATGATGTTGGCCTCTTCGGGTCTTCCTGGAGGCCCTCTTGGAGGCCTCCTGGGCCGTCCTGGGCCATCTTAGAGCCGTCCTGGGCCATCTTGGTGGGCTCCTGGCCCGTCTGACGCCGTCGGAAGCTGTCTTGACGGCCTCTCTGGGCCGACTTGGGGCCATCTCGGGGTGCTCCAGGGCGTCTTGGAAGCTTCCTTGGGCGTCTTATAAGCCTCTTGGGCCATTTTGGACCGGGAACGGGGGCCCTGGAGCCCTGGTCCCCCCGTAGAGAAATGAGGCCAGGCCCCCCCGGGGACCTGGACCCCTGGATATATATATATATATATATATATATGCGTATATGTATATGCCTCTATATATATGTATATATATATATATAGATGTATGTATGTGTATATGTATATGTATACGTATATGTATATGTATATGTATGCGTATGTATATGTATACACATGTGCATATGTACATGTATATGTGTATGTATATGTATATAGTATGTATGCATGTATGCATGCATGCATGTATGTATGCAGGTGCATATATACATACACACATAGGCATATGTATACACATATCTGTATACATATAGACTAGAACCACGCGCGCGCTTAGGTTCTAGCTAGGAGGCGAGCTTGAGTCAACGAAAGTCGCAGGGAAGGGGGCAGGGGGAAGAAGGCCAGAGACCGCTGAAGGATCCAAATACTGGAACCCTCTTGTGATTTTGTGGGGGGCCTCGTCTGGCCGCTCGCTGGGAGTTTGACGTAGCTTCTCGGGATCCTCTGAACCTGTCTGGGGCCTCCTGGAAGCAGGTTCGAAGCATTTTGGGGGCCGATTTGGGGCTTCTCGGGGCCTCCTTTGGGCCTCTTGGGGGTCTCCTGGGGCCTCTTGAGGGGCCTCCTTGGGGCCTCCTGGCGGCCTCTTGGGGCGGAAGGCTCGAGCTTGCGGTTCGTGGTCCCCCTCTGGGCCCCCTCTTGGGCCCGTCTTGGGGCCCTCTTGGGCCATCTTGGGCGCCTCTTGGGCCGTCTTGGGGCCCTCTTGGGCTGTCCTGGGGCCCTCTTGGAAGCTTCTTGGGCCGTCTTGGGGCGGTCTTGGAGGCCTCTTGGGCCGTCTTGGACGCGGTGAAAGCCCAAGATGCGAACATGCGAAAATATACGTTTTCCCATAGGAATGGCACGATTTTTGTTTCTTGGACCTCTCTGGGGTGCCTCTCGGAACGTCTTGGGCTGATTTTGGAAGCCTTTTGGCGCCTCTGGGCGGCGTTTTGGCGCCTCCTGGGATATGTTGGGCCGGAAGCTCGGAATTCGAGAGTGGCTTTCTCCTTCTGGGACCCCTCTCGAAGTCGTCTTGGGGTTCTCTTGGGCCGTCTTGGGGCCGTCCTGAGCCACTCGTGCGCAGCCTTGGAGCGCTCCCGGAGGCCTCCTAGGCCGTCTTGGAGGCCTCTTGGGCCGTCTTGGACGCGGTGAAAGCCCAAGATGCGAACATGCGAAAAATATACGTTTTCCCATAGGAATGGCACGATTTTTGTTTCTTGGACCTCTCTTGGGGTGCCTCTCGGAACGTCTTGGGGTGCTTTTGGGAGCCTTTTGGCGCCTCTTGGCGGCATTTTGGCGCCTCCTGGAGCCTCTTGGGCCGGAAGCTCGGAATTCGAGGTTGGCTTTCTCCGTCTGGGACCCCTCTCGAACTCGTCTTGGGGCTCTCTTCGGCCGTCTTGGGGCCGTCCTGGGCCACTCGTGCGCAGCCTTGGAGCGCTCCCGGAGGCCTCGTAGACCGTCTTGGGCGCCTCTTGGGCCGTCTTGGACGCGGTGAAAGCCCAAGAGGCGAACATGCGAAAAATATACGTTTCCCCATAGGAATGGCACGATTTTTGCTTCTTGGGCCTCTCTTGGGCTGCCTCTCGGAGCGTCTTGGAGGCTTCTGGGACCTTCTTGGTGTCATGACAGGCGTCTTGGAAGGCATTTGGAGCCATCGGAGCGCGTTCCGAAGCCGCCTGCGAACGATCTTGGACGGCGTCCGGCGGTCCGACGAGCCTCCGGGCCCCCTGGGGCCCACAGTTGTGGTCGAGGTCCCGGCCCCGGGCCCCCGGACCCGGTGCGCCGTTATATGTATACTAGAACCACGCGCGAGCTTCGCGCGCGCTTAGGTTCTACCCTGGCACGAGCATCGGATGCGCCGCGGAGCGCATGAGGTTGGGAGCGATTGCAGGAAGAGCTGTGGATAGACTCACTGAGGACTGCCAGGCGTATCATCCAGCCACTGGCCCTCGTAGACATCGGCCCTCTCCGTGAGAAGGAGCAGTTGCAGCATGATAACGAATAGCTCGCGGCCAGAGCGTAAATGGAACGACTGAGAAATCACCCTCGAGCCGCGATCGTCGAGCGCCGATGAGCCGTCGAACGCCGATGGACGACGGATGCGGCGTGGGCGAGGACGACAGAGAGGTCAACGACGACAAACGACAACGACGACTACGACGATGACGATGACTACGACGCAACCCTGCCCTGCGAGCCAGCGCCGGAGTAGCCGTGACCTCCCAAGCTAGCTCAATCGCCTTAAACAAAGATTCAAAAAACAGATCTCGCAGGAGCCAACACTGGGGTAGCTGTGACCCCTCAGGCTCGCGGCCAGAACGGGAATAGTACATCGGAGAAAACCCACCTCGAACCTCCATCGTCGACCCGATGACCGACGGATGCAACGTGAGCGACGCCTGTGGGAGTGTCTTGGGACCCTCTAGAGGGCCTGTGGGACCGAGCCCGCGTGCAACGCCAATAAGCGGAGCCGACTGTCTCGAGGAGCAAAATGAAAGCAAAAGGGTGAAACATTTTCAGCCCTCCTGCTGTGGGCCTTCCTTCGTTTTGAATAGAGCGCTCTGGTCTCCAGTCCTCCCGCCTCCCTCCTCCTCTTCCCCCCTCTTCATTTGATACTACACAACCAGGATACTATACAAGTATAGGCCTCACATATCCTTGTACGGCGCGTGTGGAACAAAGGGAGAAGCCCCCTGCGAAACCTGGTGTGCTGCCAGATGGCAAGAACGGGCCCCACCCCAGCTCCGTAGCCGCGAGTGGGTATGTGGGGTTCCCTGAGCTACGCCACGGCAATCACTACAAGTGGATGTAGGGAATCAGCTCCTGTAGTCACTGATATAATTACTAAGAACCACGCGCGCGCTTCGCGCGCGCTTAGGTTCTAGCTAGGAGGCGAGCTTGAGTCAACGAAAGTCGCAGGGAAGGGGGCAGGGGGAAGAAGGCCAGAGAGCGCTGAAGAATACAAATACTGGAACCCTCTTGTGATTTTATGGGGGGCCTCGTCCGGCCGCTCGCTGGAGTTTGACGTAGCTTCTCGGGAGCCTCTGAACCTGTCGGGGGCCTCCTGGAAGCAGGTTCGAAGCATTTTGGGGCCGATTGGGGCTTCTCGGGGCCTCCTTTGGGCCTCTTGGGGGTCTCCTGGGGCCTCTTGAAGGGGCCTCCTGGGGGCCTCCTTCGAGGCGGAAGGCTGAGCTTGCGGTTCGTGGTCCCTCTCTGGGCCCCCTCTTGGGCCCGTCTTGGGGCCCTCTTGGGCCATCTTGGGCGCCTCTTGGGCCGCCTCTTGGGCTGTCCTGGGGCCCTCTTGGAAGCTTCTTGGGCCGTCTTGGGGCGGTCTTGGGCGCCTCTTGGGCCGTCCTGTAACGTCGGAAAGCCCAAAAGAGAACTTTGTTGAAAATGTACGTTTTACGAAGGGAATGGGCCAATTTTTGCGTCTAGGAGCCCTCTTGGGACGCATGTTGGAGGCTTCTTGGGGCCTCTTGGGGGCGTCCTTGGACGTCTGGAGGCCATCTTCAGCATCTCGGAGCCCTCTTGGAGGCCTCTTGGAAGTTTCTTGGGCCGTCTTGGGCGCTCCTGGGGCCGTCTTGTCTGACCGGGGAGGCCTCCGGCAAGCCCCGACGAGCCTCCGGGCCCCCTGGGGCCCACATTTGTGGTCGAGGTCCCGGCCCCGGGCCCCCGGACCCGGTGCGCCGTTATATGTATAAATGTATATGGACTTGGGATCCTCTTCAAGTCCAGTCGCCACAATAACGTATGATGGTGCCCCAGCGAGACGACTTGGCTGTGGCAGAGAATGGTGAGCCTGTGGCCGCCGACTGGTTGGTCCCAATGCGCCAGCGACAGTTCAGTCCCCGTTGTGCCGTCTGTCAGCTCGGTGAACCCACTGCACACGTGACAGCTCGGTACCTCTGCCGTGGCCCACTGCGCCAATCTCAGGAGGGGGAAAACACTCAGACACAATTCATCGTCGATTCCCCAGAACGTATGGGAAAATATGGGAAGTGGGGGGGAAGACGAAAACCCCCAAAAATATGCGAACATATGAGGGATTTTTATTTGTGTGTATTCATTTGTGTGTCCTGGGGCCCCTTGACAATCACAAGTCGCTACCTCTGCCACCCACCCACATCACTCTAGTATTCCCCGCACCAGCGACCACGCAACTCAAACAAGCAAGCGTGAGATCCCTGAGCTCGCTCCATGGAGCGTGCAGTCAGGGATTTGTGAGACCGCAAAACTGGCCATCGCTCGGACGTCCATTTCCTGTGCTTTTTTTGGTTTCGTGCGTGGTTTTTTCGCCAAATGGTCAAGGATGCTCCTCGATGGTCTTCGCCGGAGGAAACATGCACACGTCCGAGCGATGCCGAGGCAAAAGCAGAGGAAGGGGCAGACCGAAGAGGCAGGAAGGGGCCGAGGCCGCAGCAGAAACAGCTCGCCGACCTCTCGACTAGTGGAAGAAAGTCGCCGCCAGAGGAGGCCCGGACTACAGTCGGGGGGCTTGACCTAAGGATCCCTAAATAAGGAACGAGGCCCATTTTTTCCATAAGTTAAACTTCGATTTCCTATGGAAAACATAAGGAAAACCTGAGGCAAGCTGCGAAACAATCAAGGAACACCGAGCCCCTCCCCAACGAAAAGGGTTCCTTCTTCAGCGCCCCGACTGTAATGGAAGAAAATCGCCGCCAGAGGAGGCCCGGACTAGCTTGGGAAAAAGGAGAAACAGCCTCGCCCGAGCGCTGTGGCAGCAACGTGCTACGCATGGGGTCTTCGGATGCCCCTGGGGAGGCTTCTCGGAAGCCACTGAAAATTCTCTGGGTCAACCAGAGGGGTGCGGGGGGGCCCGCCAGGGCGGAGTGAGTGTGTACCCTCATCATGTTGGCCCCGAGGCAGAGCAAATTACGCGGGCTGCTCCGGCAGACACAATGACACACCAATGGTAGGCTGCTCTGACAGGCTGCCGCGAATCCAGGCCCACGAGGCCGTCGGGGAAGGCCCAGCGCAAGCGCTGCTCGGGGAGTAATATTAGGTCGGGCCTGTCCCCCTACAGGCGGATTTTGAAGGACGAATGATAAATACCCAACGAATTCTCAACAACATGCCAAAATGTTACAAAAAATCCTCCCCAGACGATTTTTTTTACTATTTTTGAATATTCCTCCTGTAGTGGGACACGCCCGACTTAAGAGTAGTACGCTCGTCATGCCGAGGACGAGACACATAAGTCTGCTTCAGCACTCACGCCCGCGCAGCGTGTTCTCGATCTCAGCGATCTCCGCCTCGTCGTCGAGGCTGTTGAGGTCGACGTCGAAGCCGTTGTCGAGCCCAACCATCAGGGGGAGCCATCGCCGCAGCATGCTCATCTCCACGATGAGCTCCTTTACCGTCGGCTCGACCAGCATCTTGACGGTCTTCGTCTGCACCTTGACCTTCTGGCCGCCGACGGCCCCCTCCCAGGACATCCGCCTTCCTCGCCAGGCATGCTCCTGGCGCTTCGCGCTCGACACGGACAGCTGCGAGCCCATCGAGCCGACCGAGGCCAGGCACGCGCCCGCAGCCGTCGGCGCACCGGTGGAGAGGGCCCCCTCCTCACCGACCAGGCCTCGGGCCACTGCATACTGCATCGTCGCTGCCATCGTGCCGTATCGCTCAAAGTGGGAGCCCCCCAGAGAGATGATGTTCTTCCAGGACTGCCCCTCGTACTGAGAGTAGAACTCCCTCAGCGCCTTGGAGATGGCCTTGCCCTTCGTCTGGGCCCAGAAGGTCTCAAGCTGATCATCGGCCAGCATGTTCAACTTGTCATGCTCAATCTGCGTACCCTCCTGCGCATACACGATCTGAACGTCGAGCTCTTCGATTAGCTCGGCGATCCCAGGATAGAACGACTCGCAGCAGTCGGTGACCCACGGCCGCTTGGCCAAGGTCACTATGACGACCTTGCCGCGCCTGCCCGCCAGCTGGAGGATGTGCTCGACAGCGCGCGCGGCCTTCGCCAGCGCGGCCTGGACGCGCGCCATCTTCGGAGGCCGGAGCCTCTGGTCCTGCAGGCGCTGCATGATGGAGAGGCCCAAATCGTCCTTCACGTAGGTGGTCGGGAACAGCGTGTCGTCCCAATCGAATACGATGACCGTCTGCGCCTTCTCCGCGCGTGGCCCGCAGGAGACCTGCCGGCCAAGCGGCTCGAGCGGGGTGGTCGCCTGGCTCCCGACCAGCCTTCCCCTGGCCTCCTTGTGAGCAGGGCCCGACCGTCCTGGCATTCCTACAGGCCCACCACGAAATATTCTTAGAACCACAGAACACTCCAAGAGCGAAGCCAAGCTCCTGGAGCAGAAAGCCGATGTGCTGAACCAAGCCAGCCTCGGCCAGAACTGCTCTGAGGCATGTCGCGCAGACCACACGAGGCTCTGAAGACGTTCTGTGGGGGGCCTGTGGGCAAGCCGGGACGCTTCGCCCCCGCTCGATCCCTGGCGAACTGCGCCACCTCCGAACCCGCCAACCCGAAGACGGTGCCATGAGGCCGGCGGACGCCGCCCGGCCTGCCGCTGCTGCAGCCCCGCACCTGCCCGGACCCGTGCCGCCCAGCGCTGCAGGTGTCCGTGGCCTCTCGGCCGTGGCGGCTGCCATCCCCGGGCTCTCCGCGCCGCCGTCCACGGGGTCGTCCAAGAGGGGGGCGCCCAAGGGGGGGGGGCGCAAGCCACGGCCGGCGGCGTGCGCGCGGCCCAGGGGGGGGGCCAGGGTCGTATGGGGCGCAATGAAGTCTGGGGAGATGTCATGGCCCCCGCCATGATCTCCCCCTCCCTACACTTGGACCTCGGCCAAAAGAACGCTCTTCCAGAACATGAGGCCCTCCGCCGGCCAAAACACACAGAACATCCTGGAGTACCCTCCCCAGGATACACCCGACAAACACGAAGAACACCAGGGTACCATCCCCGAACCGACCTCGATCTTCTACTACCTCGGCCTGGCTGTAGCCATCACCCCTCGCCCCAGACCCCCGACGTCATGATTTTGTCATTGCGTCGAGCCCCCAACTTTTCGACCCATCCCCCAGGACCGGGTCCTCATCCCGAGTCGCTTCTTGACGGCCCCGAGGCCCAGCATGGGCCCCCAGAAGCCGAAAACCACGAAACACCTCCCGTCATGATTCTCTCATGACCCGACCCTGACTCCAGATCCGCCCTACTTTGGCTTTTTTCCCAACTTAAAGCTGCGTTGGAAATCCCCCTTTAAGAGGCCGAACAAGTAGGGCGGAAATTTCTGCACCCAACATAAAAGTAGGGCGGAAATCCACAGAAGTAGGGCGGAAACAGCAGCAGAAAAGCAGGGCGGAAATCGGCATCAGCGGGGCTTGAAAAGTGAGGCGGAAATTCCAGGCCCTACCTGCGAACTTCCCCAGAGTAGGGCGGATCCGGAGTCAGGGGAGGGGGTCTGGGACTTGAGCGCCCCCGACGCCCGCGTCCTCCCGCGACCGCAGCCCGGGGCCGCGGACGACCCGCGGAGCGCCCGCCCCCGGCGTCGGCCGCGCGCCCGCGGACCTCCGCCGCGGGCCCCCGGCGGCCTCCTCCGCGGGCCCCCGGCGGCCGCTGGCGCTCGTCGTGCTCGGGTGCCCCGACGGGGCCCCGGGCGTCGCCCCCGCCTCGCCGGCAGGGCTCTCCCGGTCGTCAAGCCGGTGGAAGAAGGAGAAGAAGCCACGGGTAAAGATAAACTTCTTTGGCGCTCCGCGCGGATATTTCCTGGAGTCGCGCTGGACCCCTCCCTGGCGCGCGGAGCGCGCCTGGGGCGGCGCTGCGGGGGCCCAGGCGCGGATCCAAGACATCCGCGCGGAGCGCCAAGAGTTTGTGTGCTTGCGTGGTTTTTTCTTCGTCTTCGATGGTGTGCGGCGAAGCCTGCCGGGCACGTCGACGCCGCCTCCCGCGCCCTCCTCTCTGCCGGATGCACGCGCAGGGAGGGCTCTGTGCACGTGTTCGATCGTCGCAGGTGGACGAGCATCGTCATCGGGACCTGGCCAGTTTCGCCGTGGAGTAACGAAGAAATGGCCGACAGCTCTTTGGCCAAAGGCTACGGAGCCATCCTGAGGCCTCAGTGAGCGCTCTCGGGTCGTCTTGGGGCCATGCTGGGCCTCGCTGAGGCCGTCGTGACGGTAGCTTGGGCGCTCTTGGGGCCGTCTTGGGCCGTCTTGGGGTCCTCCGAGGCACTCTTGGGGCTGACTTGGGCCGTCTAGGGTCGAACATGGTCGAAAATTCGGCCTTGAGGCCGTCTTGAGGCGATCCTGGGGGCCTCTTGTGCCGTCTTGGGGCAATCCTGGGGGCCACTTGGGCCGTTCTGGGCCCTGTGAATACCAAAGAGACTATATGCTAAAAATCAACGTTTCCCAACGGAAATGGGATGATGCTTTTGCCTCTGGGGCGTCCTTTCGGAGGTCTCGTGGAGCGTCCTGAGGTCTTGCATCGGGATGCTGTTGAGTACTGCAGTAGGTGTTGTGTTGGAGACGGAGGCTGTTGAGCACCGGGTGTTGTGTTGGAGACGGGTCATGCAGAGTACTGGGCGCTGTGTTGAACGCGAAAACGCGGCGGGCGGCGGGGGGCGGGCAACGGTCCGGCGGCGGAAGAGCGGGCGGCGCGCGGCGGGCGGGCGGATCGGGAATGGAATGGAACTCCTGAGTTTTCTCTCTTGCAGCGGGATGCTGCTGAGTACCTGGTCTTGAGTTGGAGACCGAGGCTGCTGAGTACCTGGTGTTGCGCTGGAGGCGGATGCTGCTGAGTATCGAGTGTGCACGGAAGCACGGCGGCGGGCGGTGGGCGGCGGGCTGTCGGCGGGCGGGCGGATCGGGAATGTAATGGAGCTCTTAAGGAGGCTCTCTTGCAGCGGGATGCTGTTGAGTACTGAGTGTTGCGTTTGAGACGGAGGCCGTTGAGCACAGGACGAAGAATTGCAAAAAAACTTAGTTTTTTTGCAATCCTTCGTTTTTTTGCAATCCTTCGTTTTTTTGCAATCCTTCGGTTTTTTTTTTTTTGCAATCCTTCGGTGCTGTGTTGGAGGCGGATGCTGTTGAGTACTTGGTGCTGTGTTGAGGGCGGAAGCGCGGCGGGCGGGGGGCGGGCGGCGGGCTGGCGGCGGACGGACGGATCGAGATTTGAAGAGAACTCTTATGGATCTCTCTTGCAGCGGGATGCAGTTGAACACTTGGTGTTGCGTTGGATGCGAAGGCTGTTGAGTATCGGGATTTGTGTTGGAGACGGCTGCTGTGGCGTACTGGGTGATGTTTTGAGCACTGTGGACGGGCGGCGGCCGGGCGGCGAGAGGCGGGCGGGCGCATCGGGATTTGAATGCAACTCCTAAGGATTCTCTCCTGCAGCGGGATGCTGTGGAGTAGTTACTGAGTGCTGTGTTGGAGTCAGAAGCCACTAGCACCCGGGTGCTGTGTTGGAGGCGGATGCTGTAGTACTTGGTGCTGTGTTGAAGGCGGAAGCGCGGCGGGCGGGGGGCGGGCGGCGGGCTGGCGGCGGACGGGCGGATCGAGATTTGAAGAGAACTCTTATGGATCTCTCTTGCAGCGGGATGCAGTTGAACACTTGGTGTTGCGTTGGATGCGAAGGCTGTTGAGTATCGGGAGTTGTGTTGGAGACGGCTGCTGTGGCGTACTGGGTGATGTTTTGAGCACTGTGGACGGGCGGCGGCCGGGCGGCGAGAGGCGGGCGGGCGCATCGGGATTTGAATGCAACTCCTAAGGATTCTCTCCTGCAGCGGGATGCTGTGGAGTAGTTACTGAGTGCTGTGTTGGAGTCAGAAGCCACTGAGCACCGGGTGCTGTGTTGGAGGCGGATGCTGTTGAGTACTTGGTGCTGTGTTGAAGGCGGAAGCGCGGCGGGCGGGGGGCGGGCGGCGGGCTGGCGGCGGACGGGCGGATCGAGATTTGAAGAGAACTCTTATGGATCTCTCTTGCAGCGGGATGCAGTTGAACACTTGGTGTTGCGTTGGATGCGAAGGCTGTTGAGTATCGGGAGTTGTGTTGGAGACGGCTGCTGTGGCGTACTGGGTGATGTTTTGAGCACTGTGGACGGGCGGCGGCCGGGCGGCGAGAGGCGGGCCGGCGGCGGGCCGACGGATCGGGATTTGAATGGCACTCCTCAGGCTTCTCTCCTGCAGCGGGATGCTGTCGAGTACTGAACGATGTGATGGAGACGGATGCCGTCGAGTACTCTTTCCCTCGGAGGCCCACGGGGCAGAACGGAGGCCCACGGGCAGAACGGGCGGCGGCTGCGGCTTCCTCCCGCGCTCGAACGCGATCCGCAAGCGCCTCCATGCCAGGTGTCGACACCAGGCGCGAGCGGGTTGAGCACCGGGCGCTGTGCTGAAAACGGAAGGCGCGGCGGGCGGGCGGCGGGCGGGCGGGCGGCAGGCGGGCGGCGGGCGGGCGGTAGTTTGGGACTTGTTTCAAAAGAATGTTGGGGGGTATGTTTTATGCTTCGTCGAACATCCCCCTGTCGGGGGCCACGCCCGACTTAAGTCTATCAACCTCCGACACACGGCGCCGGCTCGTCGATGGAGCCCGCCCGCGGGGCTGCGCACCCGCGGCAGCCGCGCGCGGGACAGCCTCCTGGCCGCGTGCGATCACGGGCCGCCGCCCGGGCTGGCACCGTCACGTCGGGCCGCGGCGCCCGCTCGTCCGACTTGCCTTCAGTCGGGCGTAGCCCCCTACAGGGGGATTTTCCCAGAAAAATGATTTTAAACAATCGAATGATAGCAATAAGACTACTACTACTACTACTACTACTACTACTATTACTACTACTACTACTACTACTACTACTACTACTACTACTACTACTACTACTACTACTACGACTACTACTACTACGACTACTACTACTACTACTTACTACTACTACTACTACTACTACTACAACTACTACACTACTACTACAACACTCTACTCCTACCGACTACTACTACTACTACTACTACTACTACTACTACGACTACTACTACTACTACTACTACGACTACTACTACTACTACTACTACTACTACTACTACTACTACTACTACTACTACTACTACGACTACTACTACTACTACTACTACTACTACTACTACTGCTACTACTAATAATAATAAATAAATAAAATAATACCAACAATACTAATAATACTAATAATAATAATACTCGAATAGTAATGATACTAACAAAACTAATAATAATGCTACTAATACAAATAATAATGATAATAAAAATAAAAATAATACTATCAAAAATAACATAACTAACAATAATAATACTAATCAACATAATAACATACCCCAACAAGGCAAACGAACACCCCCAAAATAGTCCCCAGACTATTTTTGGACTATGTTTGGACTATGTTGGGGGTATTGTTTTGTTCGTCGACAATCCCCCTGTAGGGGGACAGGCCCGACTGAAGACTTGCCGCCACCCTCGCGGCCCAGAAGTCCCGACCGCTCCCCCTGGGAGATGGTACTGCTCGGCCCTGGTCCACCAAAGACCTCCCAAATGTGGTCGGAGTGGCTGGGGCCGGAGACGTCCGCTCGTCCGACTTGCCGCCTCCTTATCGCGGCCCAAAGAAGTCCCGACCGCTCCCCCCGGGAGATGGTGTTGTTTGGCCCTGGTCCACTCGAGGCCTCCCAGATGTCGCCGGAGTAGCTGGGGCCCGGAGACGTCCGCTCGTCTGACTTGTCCCCTTCGCGGCCCGGAAGTCCCGACCGCTTCCCCTGGGAGATGGTGCTGTTCGGCCCTGGTCCACTAGAGGCCTCCTCGATGTGGTCGGAGTAGCTGGGGCCAGAGGATCGCACCGCATCGCCGATGCATCGGCGGGACACCGGCGACGCCGGCGCGGAGAAAATCGAGCTCCGCATCGAGCCGAATCGCCTACGTATCGGCGATGCGACGCGACCTTCCGACCACATCTACTCGGACCACATCTAGGAGGCCTAGATCCACTGGTAAAGACCTGGGTGGCTCGAAAACGGCCCCCGAGCCCCAGACCCCCGACGCCGTGGTTCTTTTTCACGGCGTCGACCCCCAGATCGAAGTTTGGACCCCTTCCCTGGGACGGGTTGCTCATCCCGAGTCGTTTTGCGACGGTCCTGAGGCACAGTGATGGCCCCCACAGGCCGAAAAGAGCGACAAGCCTTCGCCGTGTTTTTTCCTCAGCGCGGGGGGGTCTGGGGGTCGGCGCCGGGGACCCCGCCCCCCCCCCCAGGGGGAGGCGGCGCGGGGAGAAAGAAGCAAAGGAGGAGGAGGAGGAGGAGGAGGAGGAGAAGGAGGAGGAGGAGGAGGAGGAGGATGAAGCGAAGAAGAAGGAGGAGGATGAAGCGAAGGAGGCGGAGGAGGAGGAGGCTGAAGCGAGAAACCTCCCGTCGAGATTTTGTCAGAGCGCGAGGGTGTCAGGAGCCCGGGAGGCCACCGGTCGAGAAAAAATACACCGTCGGATCTCCGGGCGCGCGCGTGTCCAGCCGCCCGGGGGCACGCCTCTCCGCTCCGCCGCCGCATCTCCTCTCCGCCTCCTCCTCCTCCTCCTCCTCCGCCTCCTCCTCCTCCTCCTCCTCCTCCTCCTCCTCCTCCCTTCTCCTCCTCCTCCTCCTCCTCCCTCCCTCCTCCCTTCTCCTCCTCCTCCTCCTCCCTCCTCCTCCTCCTCCTCCTCCTCCTCCTCCTCCTCCTCCCTCCTCCTCCCTTCTCCTCCTCCTCCCTCCTCCTCCTCCCTCCTCCTCCTCCTCCTCCCTCCTCCTCCTCCTCCTCCTCCTCCTCCTCCTCCTCCTCCTCCTCCCTCCTCCTCCCTCCTACTTCTTCTCCTCCTCCTCCTCCTCCTCCTCCTCCTTCTCTTTCTCCGCTCCGCCGACTGTGCTCGCCCCCCGCCGGCCTGGAGGCACTGCCCGATGGAGTCGTCGAGGACCCGGAAGAGCTCCGCGCTCCGGCCGATCCAGACCAAGCGCACCAGCCGCAGCGAGGCCGGCAGCTCGCTCCGCTGCGCCATCTGCGCGAGGGTGCGCAAGGTGCTGTGCACCTGGCCATCGCTTGGACGTCCATTGCGTGTGCTTGTTTCGGCTTCGTGCGCGGCTTTTTCGCAGGATGATCCAGGCTGCTCCTTGAGAATCCCCGCCGAGGAAAACTGCACACGTCCGACCGATGCCAAGGCACCTGCGTGATGCCGATGCCCCCGCCGACGAGCAGGCAGGCCGCGTGGTCCGCGGGGTCGAACATGGGCCCGTAGGCGCCGTCCAGCTGTACGGTCAGCGCGGAAGCGCCCCCGTCGCGGACTAGACGGTACAGCCTGTCCGTGAAGGTGCCGCTGCCCATGTTCTTGATGCACAGCCGCCGACCCCATCCGGGATGTCCAGGCGCGTGAGCCTCTCCCCTCCTCCTCCTCCTCCTCCTCCTCCTCCTCCTCCTCCTCCTCCTCCTCCTCCTCCTCCCCCTCCTCCTCCTCCTCCTCCTCCTCCTCCTCCTCCTCCTCCTCCTCCTCCTCCTCCTCCTCCTCCTCCTCGTCCTCCTCCTCCTCCTCCTCCTCCTCCTCCCCCTCCTCCTCCTCCTCCTCCTCCTCCTCCTCCTCCTCCTCCTCCTCCTCCTCACCCCTGGCCTCGCCCCCTGGACCAGACTGCAAGTGGCAGATTTGACCTCGGGGCGGCTGGCCGGTATCGCCGTGGACAGTGGGGCCCCGCTGCCAGATACGCAGTCCCGCCTCGGCCGTCGGGCGAGCTCTGACCGTTGTGCCCCGCCGTCAACACGGAGACCCGTCGCCCACCCCCCCTGTTGACAACGGTGGCCCCTTGTCAACTTCGCACTCACACCTCGGCCCTTTGTTGCGGCACTCACACCTCGGCCCACACCTCGGCCCACACCTCGGCTCACACCTCTGCCACACCTTGTCAACTTCGCACTCACACCTCGGCCCTCTGTTGCGGCACTGGGGCCCCAGTGTCAAGAGGGAGGTCCGCGCCGGCTCCCCGCCCCCCTCCTGCTGGTGTCTCTCTGACTCTTCAGTTGGCTCCCTCCTCCCCTCAGCACCCGCGCGCCGCGCAGCACTCGGCTCTGGCGCGGCAAGCTTGCCCGCCCGCCCGGCCCTGAAGAGGCCTTCGGTGGTGGCACCCTCCTGAGGTGTGCGCCAACGGAAAACAGTAGAAACAGGTGAGGGAGGCAGGGGACCAACCGCTAGTGGTCCCCGCGCTGACAGTGTGGCCCCTCTGTCAACATGCACATTTCGGCCTGGGCCGTCCAGGAACCCTTGACAGCGGCGCCCCGCGGTCGCTGCTGGGAGCACGGAGGCCTGCGCCGTGCGTCCCTCGTGTTGACAGCGGCGCCCCTCCGCCGCGTGCGCTCTCCAGCCCGGGCCGTCTGGGGCCAACGGGGCCCTTGCCCAGCGCCTCCTCCTCCTCCTCCTCCTCCTCCTCCTCCTCCTCCTCCTCCTCCTCCTCCTCCTCCCTCCTCGCGGAGGAGGAGGAGGAGGAGGAGGAGGAGGAGGAGGAGGAGGAGGGGCCCGCTCGTCACAACGGGCCGCGACATGCCCGCGGGGCCCCGGCCCCAGCGCTCCCCACCCGCCACAGCAAGTCACACAATGCGCGCACGGTCCCAAACCCAGCGCGTGCAGCACCGGGGGACGTGGGCCAACAGATGTACTAGGATTCTACCCGCGAGGAAGATTGTCGCGATGATACACATCTAAGAAGGATCAATAACTGATTCATACGAAGGATACTAATGCTTGGGTGGCGAAAGATCGCCAGAGGCGCGTGCGCCGACATCAGGGGAATAATAGCGGGCAGTGGAACTGAAACTGAAACGCCTCAACTGCAGCAGCCGCCGCAATCGCCGCCACAGCCGTCGCAACCGCCGCCACAGCCCCCGCAGCAGCCGCCGCTCGGGCTACGGACATGGATCGGCGTAACATTGAATGCCTACGCTTTGATGTACGGTGTGCAACTGCTTTCAAACACATGCACGAAGAGTTTAGGGAACCCCTCGAAAAAGGCGAGAACGCGAAAATCACGCTAAACCCACAAGCGTCGCTCCTAGCTGTTCGCCAGCGTGGCATTGCGGGCCACCGCATCTCTGATTCGGACAGCGGGGCGGGCCGACACAGAAACGCGGCCACGGCAAGGGACAGAAGCGGGCAGAACGGCGAGGCGCCGAGGAGCGAGAAAGGGGGGGGGGGAGGGGAGGGGGGAGAGGGAGGGAGCGAGAAGAGGGAGGGGGGAGAGGGGGGGGGGAAGGGAGGGAGCGAGAAAGGAGGGAGCGACAAAGGGAGGGGAGGACGGGGAGGGGGAGGGAGCGAGAGAAGGCACCCCGAGAAACCTCCCCCCAGGAGCTGCGCGAGAGGGGGCCCTCCCGAGGCCTCCCGCGCAGGGCCTCGGGCGCCCCAGGGGGGCTCGCCCCAGGGGGGCTCGCCTCGAGGCCTCCCAGCAGGACCACCAGCACGACCACCAGTGCAACCACCAGGGGGGGTGGAGGAGGAGGAGGAGGAGGAGGAGGAGGAGGGGGAGGAGGAGGAGCAGGAGCAGGAACAGGAGGAGGAGGAGGAGGAGCAGGAGGAGGAGGAGGAGGAGGAGGAGGAGGAGGAGGAGGAGGAGGAGGAGAGGAGGAGGGGGGGGGAGAGAATCCACGGGGACGACCAGCACAGGAGGCCGCATGCGAACCCGACCCTACCACGCCACGATTTCGAAATGGGGGAGGTGGGGCAGGGTTCGCACGTGACCTCCCACACTGGAGGCCAGCCCCCAAGCAGCCTCCCAGCAGAAACCCGACCCTGCATGGATTTTTTGGTGTGGGAACGTCGCGCTCTCCATAGCAGAACCATCGAAACCCAAGAAACCCAGGGTACCCTGGAGGCCAGCAGGGTGTTGTTCGGCATGGGTATCCACTGTACAGTACGTCTGTCGCCGCCAGGCGCGCTGTCCCCGCCCCCCCCCCACAAGAAAGGACGGGCCGTGTGAGGGGGAGGGAGCGCCTCGAGCCAGTAGTAATGCGAAATGTGAGGGCCCCCGCGGCCACAAACCTCCACGAAACGTCCAACTATGGTCCAGGATATCCACGTGAGGGCACAAGAGGCCTCCACGATAGTCCAAGAGAACCCCGGGGAGTGCTGAGGAAACCTAGAGCTGGCCCGAAATGGCCTCAAGACGGCCCAAGGAGGCCTCCAATAGTCCCCAAGGAGGCCCCAGGACAGTTTTCAAAAACAAGTTTGCACCTAAGGTGCCTCACTTCTCTCCTGATGAAATGGACCTGTTTGTCGGTCCGGTCGGTTTGTGGCCGCCATTCGCTGCACGTTCCCGCTGTCCTTAGTCACGACTTCCGCTCGTCGCCGTTGTCCCTGGTCCTTGGTCACGGTCTTGATTGTGCGAAATGCTGCATGGTTTTCCATCGCTTTGCAATCGCACTGTGCTGCTTTGAATTGCTTCGCGCTTATTTGACTGATGTTGCGTTGGTTGGCGCTGTTTTGCGTTGTTTGGAACTGCTTTGCGATTTGCACCACGCTGATTGCACCGCATGGATTGCGCCACCTGAATTGGTTCTCAATTATAAAAAGCAAATAGATTCGACCCCCCCCACGATTATCCGTTTCCCCTTTCCATACTGCAATTTACATATGGTTCTGCCCCATATACCATCCCATCCTGGCCGGCATCCTTCCCCTCCCTGGCATCCTTAAAAAATGCAGCTCGCGCACTCCTTTATCAAAAATCATCCGTTTCCTAAAATCCCCTGTTCAAGCAATCGGGCGACATGCACGCGCGTTGTCGCGCGCGTGCCGAAATCCTTCAAAAACCTTCGGTCGCGTAAAGATTCCAAAATCGAGTGTCCGAAATCACACATATATAAAATTTGGTTTCGCAGCGCGGCCTTTCAAAAAAGATTCCGCGTTCGTGCGAACTCATAACAAAAAAACAATTGTTTTCCCAACATCTCCATAACATGCTGCCACACGGGCTTCGCGCGCGCGCCGAAATCGTCCGAACGCCCTTGCGCGCATGCCGTCGCAGAAACGTTTTGCATAAGATGGGGCGAAGTGCGCGCGCATGCCGACATCCATCAAAAATATTTAGCTGCCTAAAGATTTCAAAATTGAGTGCCCCAAAAACATATCGAAACACATGGTTTCGCAACGTCCATTTTCCAAAAAATTGGCGCGCGCTCTTGCGACGTCTTGCGAAAACCGTAGGTTTGTTAACGTGTTCATGGAATTTTATCACGCGGGCCGACGGTGCCACATGCCGACATCATTCGCGCGCCTTTGTGCGCGCGCTGGGGGGGCGGGGCGCGATCCGTGAAAAAAAACACCACGCGGGCCACTCTCGCGCGCCGGCCGCGCGCGCACGTCGAACTCTTGCCAAAACCTTCGTCGCCGACGCGAGGGCGCCGTCGTCGTCGTCGGCGCGATGAGTGTCGGCGCACGCACTGGCCGCACCGTAGTCGTTGCCACAGCGTCACCAGTGTCGCTACCATCATCATCGTGTTTGCCAGTGTCGACGTTGCCATGATACCGCGCCCGCCCAAGTCGCTGACTCGCACTGAAGTGCCCGCTGGGATGCGCCCAGCCTTCAGCGCCACCGCGGCCGCGTCGGTCGCGCCAAATTGGCTGGCTGGCGCGCGCGTGCCTGGGTTGGCGCGGCTGCAGAAATGGACCAGCCAACGCCTACAACTCATCGCAACATGAACCGCATCGGCTTTGCCAACCAAATTTCTGGTGGGTGGGCGGGATAACTGCGCGAGCAGCGGAGGTGGTCAAGCGCGGTGCAAGGTAGTCAATTCTCCTATCTTAAAAACAATAGACACCCCCCCCCCCCCCCCCCCAACGCACAACATGTCTGCAAGCATTTTCGCGTAGAAACCTCAAAAGAAAACCCAAGGGCGCTGCCGCATCTTTTTGTTGCAAATGTCCTGTCCGCGCGCCCATGCTAAAATCTTACAGAAACCATGGGATCCGAATGGATTCTGCCAAATCCAACGATACTCCTGTCATGCGCCGAGGGCGCGAATCCCTTGCCCCCCCCCCCCCCCCCCCCCCCAACAAAAAACACACGCACACGCACAGACACACACACGCACACACGCGCGCACACACACACATACACACACACACACCCACGCGCACACACACACACACGCACACACACACACACACGCACACACACACACACACGCACACGCGGGCCACGCGCGCGCACCGCCGCGCGCGCATGATCAGTCCGACGGATTTGTTGAAATTCCGCGCGCGCGGATTTCCTTTTTCAGCCTTGTCTGCATCACCGCGATCATCTGCCTCATCGGCAGATGGACATCAGCATGATCAACGTGTTTGCCATCAT